GCATTCACCTGCTATCCTACCTGAATAATTCATGGCAAGCATTTAAATGAAATACTTAGAGGGTGAACAGATCTGGGCCATGCATTCTGAAGGCTACCAGCAATTTTGCTATTAGGTCATTTTAAAACAAAAGGAATGAGCTGTTGAAAGAATTAATTATTGGCTTCTCAACTCTCCTGGACCACAGGGGCTAAAAATCTATACAAATCAATGCCTATTAAAACCATCCCCATACAGTTTATCCTCTTCAGGGAGGAAAAAAAGAAGTAGGAAATACTGAGCAGTAAGAAGAAAGTGTTTAGAGTCATGAAATCTTTAAAGTGTAAAAAGAGATGTGCCATATTTAGCAGGGATTATGTCAAGCAGCATCCCAAGCTAGAAAAAGCTGACAGCTCACACATTTCCTTTCATGGAGGAAAAATAGGTCATACAGGACCCCAAACATGTAAACAGAACTGTCAGCAACATGAGCAGAAAGCACAGAACTTCAGCATCAGGCATGGGGAAGGTTGAGAATCGCACATAACTATGGAACGAATGAGCTGTGTAAGCGAGGGAGGACCTTCAAAGTGTGTGTGGGATCTCAAAAATGAGTTTGAGTACTGTTATTTCTGTGAATGAGAACAGGAGATCAGACATCCTGGAACCACTCACAAATACTGTGCTGGTGGCTTCATGGGACCTCCAGCCACTGTGTGACGCACGCTGCTGCACCGCCTGCAGCCTCAGGAGGCATCTCCATTCCATTCCATTCCATTCCATTCCATTCCATTCCATTCCATTCCATTCCATTCTGCTTATCCCCTCCAGGACACCACAGCAGCAAAAATAAACACATAAATCAGTAACTAAATGCCATGATGGCACTTCTAAAGGATTTCTCAAGACCTGAAGAGCTTTTCACCAATTGCATCGAGCCTCAGAGCCAAGGAATTCCAGGTCTTTTCACCAACAGTTCACTCACGAGCTGTCAAAAAATAGGTGCAAACTGCAACAGAGACTGCTGCCTCTTATTGCACAGCTGAAAGATCAGGGCGAACTTCAGCAGCGCTTTTGATGTGAACCAGCAGCCAAGTAGGTTGAGTTTAAAAAGGTTCCTGCGAGGAGTTGTGGGTACCTCGTATTTTGATGACATCAAATTTTGAGAAGTTTATAATAACAAAAAAAAAAAAACACTCATAAGGGGGTGTGGGGGAGAAACACGTTTTGAAACTGAATAATTGCACTGAGAAAAGCACAACAAACGCAGTGTGCCACAGCGGCTTCAGCACAGAGCACGCTGGAGAGCTGGCTTGCAAAGCATCAACCTAACAGCAAATTAGCAATACAGCACAATTGTTTTCAGTCCTCACTGAAAGCCAACCTGAGTTAATCTCACTTTAATGACACAGGAAATGGAAATTCCCTTAATAAAATGAGTTATGAATATTTATTACTCTACTTTTTTTACCTGAAAATTGAATAATTCAATTAATTCTACTATTAATTATTGAATACAAAATTAATATACTGCAAAATCTCAACTTATCTTTAGGAGTCCCCGGCAATCTCGGATAAAAATGGCTGTCAGGGATGGGACGTAGTTGTGCTATGTGTGTTTGTGCGTGGAGCTGCAGAGCACAGAGCCCAATGGAGGACTTGGTGGCCTCACTTGCAAGAAGGAAAGCACTCATAGGTGAGAGGAGCTCTGCTGCTCCCCGCCAGATGCTGCCAACGGAGCGAAACCTTCCTGTGCTGCTGTGATGAAGCAGGTCCTGACAGCTTCGTGATTTATTAGGTCAGAATCTATCAGCAGGAAACGCTGTGCGGCCCCACTGTCCTTGTCTATTAAATGAAAAGCAAGGCTTGTTTTCCTTAAGCCGGGAGAGGGAAATAAAAATGCTAAAAATAACCCAGTAGGTAGCATAAGTAAGACTAAATTACTGCAAATAGATACTGACAGCGTATGCAAATCGCTATTGATTTGTATGGGTGTGCTGCAACTGAACTTTCTTTTCGTTCCCGAAATATTAATCATTGCCAAGTCTCGCTGCCTAAAAACAGCACTCAGTTCCTTTCAGGGCTGAAAATCCGCATCTGGGAATTTCCCCAACCACTTCACATCTCAGTACAAATGAGGGCTCATCGCAGTGTCAGCTTCTGGAAGCTGGCTTCCCAAGCAGCACCCATCTCCCAGGCTTTGCAGCAGCACGGGGCAACTTCTGTGCTCCTGACATTCGTTTTTTGGAGCTCTGGAGCCCACCCTGTCCGTGTGCATGGCTGAAACATCCCAGCTCCGTCCCCAGCTGAAAACTGACCTCACAGCTTCAGCTCAGCGCCTCACCTGCAAATACAGGCAGAACCACACTGGATATTGCCAACACTTCTGACATATGCTCCATGCAAAACAAAGACAGGTAATTAGAGAAGGTGCTGGGAAGCAAATTAGCAAAGTAAATCCATAGAACAGAACTTTCTGGACGAAGAGCATCAGCTTTGTCATTGAAATTCCAATGTAAATAATGATTAAATTCTACTTGATATATAAATGTCAAGTAATTTTTGTTAAATGATTTGCATTTAAACTTGGAAATGTCAGAGATTGCAGTATTGCTGCATTAGCAAAAAAAAGCTTCGCCAATTTGCGCTGATGACTGGAATACCCACTGTGGATTATCTGGCAAATTATCAACTAACCAAACACCATCACAAGGAAACATCAAGGTCTGTGCATAGGGAGAGACTTGGTAATTTATGTTGATAAACTGGAAAGCTTGAAAGACAGTTTTAATAATATTCCAGCATATTTATTAGCATGTTTCATCAACTCGAGTCGTCTAACGAGAAGTTCCATAAAAAAGCCATTTTAGACACTGTTAAAAGTTTTCTTACGGCTCCCTTAACATCATCACAGCAGCCACAGCACAACCGTATCCGACTGCACCGTGCTGTCAGCACTGAAGCTTCTCAGTGAGACAGACCAGGATGTTCAGGCGTTGCAGGCGCACACCTACGGCTGCAATAAACTCTCCCCTCTTCTCCCACCGTAGGCATTAAGTTCAGCAATCAGACACTGCAGAACTCGCTGCCTGCCAGGCCACGCCGCACTGAGCCACCAGTGACAGATCCTCTGCTAGAGGTTCAACCCAGCTGCAATTAAACCCAATATCCAACATTCACGGATCTTGCTCTTCAATATCCAAATTCCAGGATACACAACCAAGCGTGAGATTGCAATTATCCACATTTACAAGGAGCCCTAAGCACCAGGTTACACTTTTAAAACCAAGGCTGGATGGTGGTTTTGCAGTAGGCAGATACCCAATGTTTTTGTGCACAGAAGGGTAAGCAGGCAAACAGTTCCCAGCCCTCCTCCCACCAATCCTGGCCAAGGGGATCCCACAGCACGTCCCCAAAACGCATCGGCCCACTGCTCCCTGTGCACGCAGAGCACAGATGCCAACCTGATCCTGAAGCTCCTTGGGTCAGCTGGAGCAAGTCTTCTAGTAGTGGTCCCTCAAATCACACCATGTATCATTTTATTAAGAAGCTCTATAAGTGTCAGTGGTACAATTCATTTTTATTAAATTTCTGAAAGGAAATTAGAAGCACCCACAGCAGCAAACAAAGAATGGGGAACGTTCCAGTTCAGTGCAGGATCGATGTCATCAATTCTTTAATACCAAGAGCTCTGATTGCATGATCTCAGCATTTAACTGCTCCAATTAATTATAATAATAAAAGAAATTAAAAAAAAAAAAATCAAAACTAACTCAACAATTTGAGAAGGTCCTTGAACAGCCATCACAACTCTGTGCCTCCTGGGACGTTATTTCTTTCAAGTGTAAACACGCAGGTATTGTAATATTAATAGGAAGGTATTTCCATGCATTGCCTTTAGCAAATCTAATTCTTAAAGTCATAAACACTACTACAAACACAATGATAATCTCCTCTCTTGAATGATGCCATGTGCACCCCAACTTCTTAATGTGTTTTCCAGCCAATTAATGGGCTCATGTGGAAAAAGGTCAGCAAGAAATTATTCGGCCTCATTTCTGAAACTCGGATTACCAGCCAGGTCAGAAAATAACCTTTTCTAATACCATCATATTAGCTGATGTATTGCAGCCAAGAAGTGGAGTGAAACAAAGCATTTATGCACACCAAAGACACAGACACAAAAAAAAAAAACAAAGACAAAAAGAAAGAGATGAACCTCATTGCTGTCATCAGCAGAAAAGGTCAATTTACTGCATTTCCTGGCCCTTCAACCAGAACAGAGAACCATTAAGGAAACAATAGGGGTTTCCAATTTGGAAGGTGGATTTGGAATGGGGGGTAGGAAAAAAAAAAAAAAAAAAAGTGTAATTTTAACGTGTTACTGATAAGTAACAAAACTTTGTGAGTCTTAATGCAGCAAGAAATAGCAGAAAAACATCTGCAGTCTAAACTTAACATACCAGACCCCATGGGATGGGAGAAGTTAAACATTTATGGCAGTGAGAAGAATACATGACATTTACTGAATAATAAACTGCAAACATGTCTGTTAATTTGGCTTTTTGGGATCTCCTCACCATCAAACACTTAACCCCAACAAGAAAAACACCAAAATGCAAACAATCCCAGAGAATGCATTTTAAACAGGCAAAGCACAAGGGAAGGCTTTGTGCTTTTTTATTTATTTAAAGTTCGAGGCTGCAGGGAGAACTGCTGAGATAAATAGCCTGCAACCTCACTGCGAGCCTGCAAAATCCGCTCATCTGAGGGATACAATTAAATGTTCAACAATCAAGTTAAAACTTTAACCTGTCAAGATTGCAGCTGTTCTATTTTTAATCAATCTGATTTCATTCAATAAAACGCTCATTAAGTCAATTAATGAGACTTTGGTGTCACAAGCCATCAAGCATGACTGGGAGTTTTCACTTTGTGGCCAACGGATTGATTAGCAAGTCAAGTAGTCAGTGGAAATCAGTCAATGTACATTTCACAGGCGGAATTATTAGCAATGTTACCTTGTTTTAGGGGAAGTTGTTAGCCATTCTTCATGCTTTTCAAACGTTATTAAATAAGCTGCAATTTCCTGAAAAGAAACGCAGAAAAAGAAAGTTATTGGCGTGGCTGTCCTGGAAAAGTGAGTTTTGTAACACAGAACCCTTCTGAACGTCTTCAACAAGCGCAGTCCCAGCTCTGCCTGCAACTCAAAGCAAGCCTTCACACTTGCGGGTGCCTTTTACCTTGAAAGTTCCCACAGCTTACAATACAAACAATGCATTTCTGTCTGCGAACTGGGATGTTGGACAACTGCAGAACACACATTACTGCGTTTAAAAGTGCATCTATTTCCTATTTCCCACTCTGCTTCGGCCGCACCGCCCCACGAGCACAGAGCCGGAGCCTCGCGCACATCCGTGCACCACGGCCAGTCTGCAAGAGCAGCAAGGAAGGGCACGGCCGAGAGCCGCAGCAGGCAGGGCGGGCAGCGCCAGAGCTGGGGCCCAGCCTGGAGAAGGGAAGGCAGTGCAAACACGGACACTTGAAGCTAAATTAAATATTTATAAACAGAACAACATCACTGCAGAGAGAATTGCTGAATTATTAATTGTTGCCATAAAAAGCCGGTGGGTGACATCCGCATCAGTGGCTGCTCCCGCCCGCACGGCCCACGGCTCCAACAGAGCCCGGCTGATGGGGGGCAGCCCTACAGGCCCCAAGCAGCGAGCTGTGGGGGCAGCGGGAGCAGCTCGGCCGTGCAACGCCAATGTGAGGACTGCACTGCCGGCCACGGAAGGATTTTCTTGTTTAAATGAGAGTTCTGTGTCAGGGCTTTATCTGTGTAGCACCAAAGCTAAAAAAACCCGCAGTGCTCTCCAACCAGCTGGCCCAAGCATCTGCTGGAGCCACACAACGCAATTATATTACTCCCAAACGAGACGTAAAAATATCTTGTTTCCAATACTCTTGGTTTTAAGACTCATCCATAATGTCCTCCGGGTGTTTCAGCGGTGCCAGATCTCCGCGCTCTGTGCTTTATTAGAGCTGTGTGAATGTCATATTAATGACTCCTAACCAACATGTTTACACTGCAAATAAATCCTCCCAGAACCCCCCGCACCACAAACCAGCACGCGTCTGCCTTCCCAAACCAACCTGCCGCCAACAGCCTCAGAAAGACGCGGTGAGGTTGGGCTGTTTTGCACCAGCTTTGCATTGCGGGATCCCACGCTGCGGCCTCAAAGACCCCGCGGCAGCGCAGCACCCGAAGGCAGAGGCTGCAGAGATGCGGCGGAGTTCGCAGCACCTGATGAGTGAGACGGAGCACCTCGCTGGCGCAGCCCCACAGCAGCCCTTGGCAGATGGTCTGTATAAGCAGGCATTTGAAGAAACAAATTCCCTTGAATGCGGAGATGAGGATGAGGCTGATTCACCCTCAACATCCTGCAAAAATAGGCAGGTTCCGAGCGTTTCAAATTAGCAAAGGATTGTGCCTATTCTTACATTCGTTTACCGTGAGGAGAATGAAACAACTAGTAGCTCCCATGGCAAACCAAACCTGCACCATGGCACTGTCAGCACCGAAAAGCAAAGCATTTCAGGCTCATAAATCAAGGTCTCAACCAAAGGCTGATCTCCTTCCCCTTCCCAGCTGGCCTGAGCACCGCATGCTTGAGATCTTCATCCCCAAACTGTCAGGGAAGAAAAGAACTGCAGCAACAAAACGTTGCTATTTAGAGACAGAAAAATTGTTTTCCCTCACCTCCACTCTGCTGACCTGGACTCGCTCAGCACATTTCAGCAGACAAAAGAATAAGTAGATTTAAAGTCTCCGTTGTCATCCCACTCGGACAAACGGAAGCGTCAGAAATAAAGAATGGTCACATAACTGTGTGCGTGCAGGAGGCGCTCAGGCAGCTCCTGCTTTTGTAAGTGGGCTTTTCTTTCTCCAGGTAGCCACAAAGAGCACAAGAAAAGCGTGGTGGTGCATCTGAAGGCAAAAAGCACTTCCTTAAAACACCGGAGGTCACCCAGCTCAGCAGGCAGGGCACAGCAGGCAGCACTGCAGGGCCGTTTCATTAAACGCACCATCGGTGCATTTTCCTTCTCTGAAACTGTAACCTGTGCCTGCCCAACAGCAGCAGAAACAGCAGCCCTGCAGCAGCTCAGCCTCGCTGCCCAGAGCTGGCCTGCAACTTCCCACCAGCTGCAATCTGTGTGTGTGCAGTGAATGCAGAGCAATCGGTGCTGCAGGCACACGAGTGACCAACAGAAACACACGTGCATGTACGTGCTGGGTGCTGCTCAGGGAGGCGTCCCGGGAGCTCCTGTCCCTACTCTGGTAATATGGAAAACAAGGGCTCCAACCAGGCCCAGAGCTAGATGTTCAGACGATTCAAAATGCATAATTCAATTCTTCTAACAGGATAAAAGCGGGATTCACATCAGCCAGGATAGGAGTTCCCAGAGGCTTTCTGCTTAATGATACATTACAGCCTGATTTCCCTCCTCCAGAGGAAATACCTTGGATAACAAGGAAAACCGAGCTCACAGCGGCAGTATGAATTAACACGTACAGCAAGAAGGCAGAACGCCCTCCATGTGCTCCTCATACGCAGAACAAGGAGTCACGCAATGGGGGCAGCAGGATGGGATGCGCACAGAGCACAGCACAGCCCAGCAGTATGGCCAGCAGCCCTGCACACACCTTGGGGCTCAGCACAGCACCTCCCCCAGCCCCATCTGCTGCAGAATGCGCCTCCAACCCCACTCCCCACTGCCACAGCTGCAAAGGGATCCAGGATACACAAAGTCAAAGCACTTCATTTCAGGAGTGCTCCTGCTAAAATGGCTGCAAGTTATCCCAGTCAAACAACTCCACAAGACACGGAGCAGAAACAAGCAGAAATTCCTATTTACAGTTTGACACCTATGTGCCAACTTCTGTCACTACATAAGCAACAAGAATCTGGGAAAATAATCTCTTGTCTACCACCTCACATTGTAGCAGAACCGCAAGAAACAGATGACTCAGTGATGCTCAGTGATACTTGGAGCAAACACTTGGGAAAAAATAGGCAGACAAAAAAGAAAAGCTTTCAGCAGAAGGCATGAAGTGAGCAGGGCTGGTTTCCCCCAGCAATGTTGGCAGAAGGCTCAGGGACTGCTGGGTGCCCCACAGCACAGGGAGTGCTGGGATGGAGCAGGGCAGGGGAGCGAGCCTGGAAGAACAGACGGGTGCAGGGAACTGCTGCGCAGGTGGAGGGAGACGTGCAGCTGTGCAGGCCATGGGACAGATACTGAAGGAGTGCCTGGTGCTAAAGCACTGTTCAGCCTCACATCGTGACCCCTCCAATAGTAAAGACTGAAATTTATTTTGCCAAGCCAACAGCAGCACTGGCAGCTTGGGAGCTGCAGAGCAACCCTTGATGCAGTCGCATTACCAGTGAAATAAATTAATGCTAGAAGAGATAAGCAGACAAAGGGAATATCTGTACCTGCAGCGATGAGACGCACCAGCTAACCCAGCACAGCAGAACGAGCAGTGCAGGCCGACCTTTCAGAAAGGAACACGTGCAGCAATGGAAGCCCAACAGAGCAAGCAAGGGATCTGCTTGCAGGACCTCATCCCACAGCAGCAGCAGATGGAGCCAGCCAACCTGCTCCCCCTCTCCCAGTGCCAGACTGTGGCTGCACCTCACCCCAGACCAAACCTAAACCTGCTCTGGGTTTGCTCCTCTAGCATTCATACAGGCACCACAGCCATTCCCATTTCAATGTCCCTCTTACTCACATGTGGGCTGAGGGTGCCCTTAATCTCACAGCTGATCAGAACCTGTTTTTGGCAATCACTGTAGCTTTTCATGTGAGGAATTTGAAAAAGAAACCAGGTTTCCAGTTCTGGATAGAGGGAAGGGTACACCTGCTCAGACTTTCCTCATACACAGATTAGGAAAAACATCTGAAAAGCCAAGCAGGAAGTGGTCAGACATGGAATTTCACCAGCAGCATGAAGATGGTTGTTGGAAATTGTGGTTGTCAGTGCTTGGCTTTGCAGGGCCAGCAATGAAGATTCAGTATTCATCAGCTCTGTTCACGCACCACTTTATGACACCAACAGCATTTTTCCTTTAGAAAAGGGTGAAGAAATAGATTTATCACTACGAGACACAAAGTCATTAAATAATTAAAAACAAAACTATATGCACAATAAAAGCTCTCTGATTAAAAAAAAAATCCCTGCATTTTAATGTGTGTTAATTCCCCTAATGATTCACTCTATATGTCTTACAGGGTCAAATCAATGTCTTCACAAAAAATTCAATTAAATCCCATTCATCCTATCTTCCAGGCGAGCCATTGTTTGCACTTGTATCCTATCAAACCACCTCTCAGTCGCTTCTCACCCAAGATTACAAACAAAAGGCAGCGTGTCAGCAGCAAGGTCAGAAGACAAAGACCCAGGCTTTGAAAACCCAACTCTGTCCTCATCTGTGTTGTTTAATTATCAGGAGAGAGAAGCCAAAAGGACGCAATGGACACGGCCATTCCCTTTTCCCCACACCCATCTCTCCCCCAGTCCTGCAATTTACTGTCAGTGCTGTGTGAACGCATCGGGGAGCTGCGAGCTGCTCTCTCCAGCCTCGCCACAGCATCCTGTGCAGGAGTCCCACTCTTAAGCCCGGTGGAACCTGAGCAATGCAGTTAACTGATCCTGCAGCCCGGTGCGGCAGCACCAGAACAGTGCTCTCCAACCACAGTGCGTGACTGCAGCTTCTCAGCTGCTTCAATATTTTAACAGCGCAGACAACAGCACAGAGCTGCAGCAGAGCCGACCCTCCTCCTGCACAGCGCTCCTCACCTCACGCTGGGCGCCGTGCGGACAAACGCCGTTCCTTCCCGCAAAGCTCCGCCTGTCTGGCAGTGCCACTGGTTTTATTCTCAGCACCCGCAGCCGCGCTGACAGACCAACAGCTGGACGCCCAGTGTGCTGCAGAGCAGCCACCGCTCCGCTTAACACGGCTGAGAAAGTTAGAGGAGTGAAAGCATTTTCCGTGCTCCCTGAAGCTGTGCTCCAGTTCTCAGCTTCCTCAGGGCTGGTCATGGCACCAAACAAAGAATAATGACTAGCTCCACAGGAGCTGTTCTGTCAGCATTTAGCCTCATGCCACAGATTAATTAGAAACCAAGCACGCGTGCCTGCAATCCTGGGTTGCAAAGCACCATCTTACCCTCCAGAACACCTTGCTGGAGAAGGACAGGAGCTGGATGCCCGGCAAGCAGCCCTCACCACAGAGCATCACATGGCAGCCATGCTCCCAGCATGCAGCCCTGCACAGGACATCAGCACCGAGCGAGGAAGGTGCCGGTGGGCAAGGATCCAACACTGCCTCCAGAGGAGCCCAGTACTCATCATGCTTGCAGGAAAGCTGCAGACTTTATTCTGCTCTGAGCTGAAAAACTTGCAGCAAAACAAAGACATTGTTTGGAAGAAAAAATAAATTAAAAAAAAAGCTAATAAAAGCTCTGAGATTTGCAATGAACATCCCGCCTGGCAGAAGGCAATCTCAGCCTGGAGGAGATGCATGCAGGCAATAATCCCATACAGCCAAACCCAAAGTACTGCGTGCAGGCACTCCTTGGCTTGAGCTGGTTGTACTTGATGCACTCAGTCCAGCCTCCACTTGTCCAAGGCACAGCTCGACATCTCCCCCCACCCCCGTTTTTTTCTTTGCGTCTTCAAATGCATCAGAGATTCCCACCTGACCTCTGCAAAGTGAAAAAAGAAACCTGGAACCAATCTGCAATTCCCAGTGTTTGTGCCAGTTACCTTAGGCTACCTATATTGTCTCTAAGTAATAAATCAGTAGTTTAAAAACAATGCCTAAATTTCAAGTTATTAACTGGCATGAATTACACACATCTGAATTAATAAACTTGAAAAATATGCATGTTTTAAGAGAAAGCATGAGAGCTCGTACGCATCCCTGAATTTATACCACAGAGCTAATAAAATTGAGATCTCTTAAGCAAGCACATTTATCCTCTTAGGAAATCTCCACGTCCTCACTGATACAGAGGCAAATTCCAGCTCACAGATCCTTTATTGTCCTTCCACTCTGAAATAAAAATACAAATTTGTGATGATTATGGAGCATCTTCTCAGCTGGGATCAAGCAGTTCTCATTTCCTAGCAGCCTCCATCCTCCAATCCATTAATATTCTGAATATTACAAATAGAAGCAGATCTGAAAGCCACACGCAGCGAGCTCTCAGTATCTTGTTGAGATCAGTGGGACAGCAAATGCAATGTGACTGCATTCGTCCAGTTGTTCCACCTAAAGGGAGCATTAAGTATAGGGAGGAATGTCACTCAGTAAGCAGGAAAGGAACCAAAGCACAAGAAAAGAAAACCAAACTTTTCACTACAGTCCTGGGAAGCACAAGTGGGGTTGGTGCAGTTTGGCAGTACCTACCAGCAACACCTTTCTGAACAAAATGCGTGGTTTCTTTTGCAGTTTGCGGGGTGTAAATATGTGGGTACCACTCAGTGATGTGGCACGGGCTGCCCCTACAGGCAAAAGGGAAAGAAATGTGCCGCGGCACCACCGCCCTGCTGGGCTTCTATCGCTAGCACCTGAAAGCAAGCTCACACATCACCACATCACCTTTTCCACTGTGAATGAATTAAAGACAGAAATAAATTAAATCTTCATTTAAAGTGTATTTTTCTAGTTGAGTAAGGGTGCACCAACTGATGTTCTACCTGATGAGGTAGAGCTGAGTTTTATCACCACTGAAGCCATGGATCAGCCACAGTCACCACTGCGAGGTGCGGAGCGAGGTGAGCGCTGCTGCCCTCCCTCTGCTGCAGCCCTGTGCGTCCACTCAGCTGCCTGTGCAGCAGGAAGGCATCCATCAGCGCAGGGCTGACGGCCTGCAGCAGCGCTGGGACAGCGGGGAAGGATGAAGCCATGCAGTGGAAACTGCATTTGGGTTGGGAGATGCATGGATGCATGCCTTATTTCTTCCAGTTACAGAAGACAACGAGTGGCTGGATTTCAAACAGTAGGATGTTTTCATTAATAACAATGTCTTACTAACCATCTGTTAAAGGTCCATACTATTAATTTAACAAAAAAAAATTGAATAGATTACTTTTACAGTTTTCAATTAAAGTACATGATGTCTTCAAACTGCAACCTTAATTAGACATTATAAGATGACATTTAGAAATCCTGAGCTCTGATTAGCTGATAAAGTCATCTGACTGTGAAGAAGTTCCACAATAATGTCATGGCAGCAAGTACTCAATCTGCTGCCAGGATGAGAGCGCATCAAGTCAGCAAGAGAGCGGCTGACTTTAACTCTTCAACATGCAGAAGAGTGAAACAGCTGGCAGCCCTGGAACAAAACCAGCCTCAAACACACACACATTTGAGATGGAAGGGCCATCCCCAATCTCCCCCGCAATGAAACGATAGGTTATCCTCAAGGAAAACTTACAGGGAGAAACAGGAACATGCAAAGAACGGTCCTCGTCCAACCCCATCCGAGCTGCAGTGGGTTCACACCAACACTTAAACCCTTCCAAAGGGCTTTCCTGGAAACGGAGAGCTTCACACACTCAGATGTATGTGCCCCATGCGCCCCAATTCCAGCACTTCCTGACCTGAGAAATTGCTGGAGATGTTTATTACCTGAGGAGAGCACTGATGGAGCCATGCAGACCGCAGGGCTCAGCGCAGAGCTTAGCCAAGAGGACAGGTATTTTCTTTGAGGTCAGCACAGTTGTACCTCTCCATGCTTAGCCCTGCCTCTCCATCTTAAAGTGGCAAGCGGACAACTTAATGCTTTATTTTCAAGGCCAGACCTGGCACGAAGCAACTGGAATAAGATAAGAAGTAATTTCCACTCCAAACCATTAAGAGGAGGAGGAAGAAAAAATTAATCAGCCAAGTGAGTGATGGTTAAAGAGCCTCTGAGTTGAACGAGATCTGCCCAGCAACTTTACCTGCCAGGTGCACATGCACACAAATAACAGCAAATGCACACAAACAGATCTTCATGACAGCACAAACAGCTCTGCACGAAGGCTGTGCTGGACTGCCTGCATCGGGCCTCAAGACAGTCAGCGCCCGACGGCGTGAAGATGGATTTTAGCCGCAGGTCCTAAGCTGAGGGACAGTCAGATCACAGTGGCATTCAATAGCAGTCTCTAGCAACTGGCAAACACCCCAGCCGTTACACAACGGAATCACCACTCCTTAAGTGACCTTGGCCTACCCTGCGGTGTGACAAGGCACGCGGTTCTCCTACTCCCATCCACAGCCCCCGAGCTCCGCCTGCTTTCCTGCCCCCTCCTCCCAAATTCTTTCCCCACTGAGGCTTTTTAGGCTGCTCTTAAGCACCTCCCAGTCAGTACCGCGTGTTTTTATTGTCTTCTTCAATCAAGAGAGATAAATAGAGAATATTTAGCTCTTCTGGCTTTTTTTCAGTACAACAGCAAAGTTAATTTAAGTTGGATGAGTAGTAACTGCAGTAATACTTCAGGCAGGATCCGTGTTATTAATTTAATCTTTTCCCTCCTTTATTCAGGTTTAAGTACCACATCATCAGTAAATGCACTAAGTTTAACGTTTTATATTCTGTCTAAATTGGAAGAATTCAAACTCACTTGATTTCCATTTTTTAATGGCAAGCACGAGCTCATTGCAGGTAAGGAAGTGCTTAAAGCTAAACCCCTATCAATGGAACAATCCGATAGCAGATATTAGAGGAGATCTATAGCGAGGGAAAACTGCAAAGCTATTTACATTAACTTCTGTCAATACAAACGGGCACATTCTCTGCTGAAAGGCAATTTCATCTGCAGAATCAAGGCACTGCTCTCATAATCCTCGAGCTTGCTATAGACTTTTCATTAACAGCAATAAATGTATAAGGCTATGCAGGCTCATGAAACGAAGGTTTATTTATGGGAAGCTGATACGGACCCACTTGTAAGAGCACTGAGGTGCAATTCCTCGATGCCTTCCCAGTTCTGAACCTACGTGAGGTGGAATGGCAGCACCCCCAGCTCTGGCAAGGAGCCGTCAGCAAACCCTTCCGCCCCACGATTGGGCAAGGTTCATTAGAAGGGAACTATCAGTGGTAATTGTCCCTTTCCACATATCCTTCACTCCAATATCCTCTACCGTAATAACGTTCCACATTTCTGCAGAACTGTCTTTTCAGCATGTTTTTGCATTACGCCTAATTTTGTAAGAGTTTTTCAGTCCCACATAACGACACAGTTCAATGCAAAACCAGATATAAATCTGGCTTAAGAGACTCTCAACAGGAATTCATTTAAAACTGTAAATGTTAAAAGATTCTATGCGTGATTTATGGAGTTTTCTTATTTCAAACAGGGAATTAAAATCCTCCTTAAAAGATACATATTAAATCATGATAACAACAGTTGGAACGACAGCGTGGGTCAGGCGGCCAGGAGAGCTGGGAGCAGCAGTGCTGGTGCCTTTCCCTTCTGCACTGCGCCCCGATGGAGCAGAGCTGCCCTACACTGAGCTCAGCACTGCTCCCCACCCTGAACCCCAATCTTAATTACTGCGAAATGTTATCTTGGATGCCGGCACCTATCTAAATAATGCAGTGAGTTTACCTTAAATGATTATTTAATGGTTTTATTCCTCTTGTACTGTTTACATAGAACACGCTTCCAGCTGTCTAAGGGGCTGTGAAAATACAGCATAAATGGCCCCATATCCTTGTGCAAACAACACTCAAAAATAAATAAAATTTATCAAAGCTAGTCACTATTATTCTTGTAGTAATTTTTAATGTTTCGTGCCTGTGAACAGATAAAATTGTTCTGCTAAAGCCTCGAGTGCTGTGGTATTTGCAGCACCAAAACCAAGCAAAGGGAGACCAACAGAGGAAAGCCACAGGGAGCTGTGCCAGAGCCTGGTGCTGCTCTATTTCAAGCAACAAAACCATCTAAATGGAAGGCAGACCTGCATTAAACACAGCAGTAAACAAGAGGAGAAACTTCACCAGACGAATGCTCTTCAAATATTTATGTAAATTAATTACTCATTACTT